AAGAATTTACCATAAATATATATTTATTATTTTAATCATGAAATATTCAAAGAATTTACCATAAATATATATTTATTTAGGCTAATGAATTCAACGGAGGTTCCATTGCAATATTTCGCTTGGCACCTCAAGATTATCATCGATTTCATTCTCCAATCACATGTATGGTTGGATCATCGAAACATATTAATGGCACTTACTTTACAGGTATGAAGTTCTTATTCATCCTATCGCATACATCAAAAAATAAATAGTTGTTTAATGATGTTATCTGTTATTAATTTAATCATTTTTGAAAATTTCATGAAAGTGAATCCTATGGCTGTGAATGAAGAACTTGACGTGTTTACTGAGAATGCTCGATCTGTGCTTCTTCTTCATCCGCTCAATTCAGGAGCATCCAAAGTGGTGTTCGTCGCCGTTGGTGCTCTTTTGGTCGGTTCAATCAAATTCACAGTAAAAGAGGGTAATCAAATTTCTAAAGGTGATGAACTAGGATATTTCGCATATGGTGGAAGTACCATAATATGCTTATGGAAAAAGGGTGAGATTAAATTTGACAATGATTTAGTGTCAAATTCTAAGCAAACCCTTGAAACATTGGTAAAAGTTGGAATGCAAATTGGTGTTAGAACTTCTAATTCCCCATAAATCATGTAGTTGTATTATGTAATTTTTTATTTTAATTATACATATGAAATATTATAGTACTATTTATACTATAACTTTGATTATTTGAATATTTATTTATTCATTTTTGATGATATTTTACCATTTTGACATTTTACTACATTTACGACATTTTACAACATTTGTTATTTTATTAAAGAAGTATAATTGTCATAACCTTTGAATAAATCATATAATGTTAAAATGTTGAATTTATGTTCTTTAAATTAATATCACTTGATAAAAAAAACTAGAGAATGGTTTTTTTTTTATGACTATATGCTATGTCAATTTATTAATCACGAATGTGTTATTGTGAGTACATGATTCTATTCCTACTTCTCAAGCATAAAGGTGAACTATCGATGGTTCAGCATGAAATAGTTCGCATGCGATAACTATTTATTACTTTCATTAATTAATTTCGACAAAATACATTTTTCGAAAATGTAACACTGATCTGTATAATACTTTTAATTTTGATTATTTTAATGGAATGAATCTTGAAGAATGTGTGGCACCGATACCTATAATAAATAATTTCAAAAGTTAGTAATATTTAATAAATTCGATAAATTCTAATAATAATAATAATAATATATCTTTTACTTACCAGGACGACCGTGTTTAACGGGTTTATAAGTAATGGAAAATTCAGCGAGATAATGGCCGATCATTTCAGGCTATTGATTTTCATAGTGTAGAGAAAAATAAGAAATTTAATGAATTTAAATAAAATCATAACATGTTATATGAATATAATATAAAAATAATATTTTTACCTTGATTTCAACTTGATTAAAAGTTTTACCATTATAAACACCAATTACAGAACCAATCATTTCTGGTACAATAATCATATCACGCAAGTGTGTTTTAACTACTGCTGGTTTATCACCTTGAGGTGCTTCTTTTTTTGCTTTACGTAATTTTTTAATAAGCCCCATTGGTTTACGTTTTAATCCACGTTGAAATCTTCTTCTTGCTCTGGCATGAACAAGGTCCGTTAGCTATATTTTAAGATTATATATTGAGTATTAATTATTAGTTATGATAAGATTTAAACAAGAATACAATTTTACCTGCTCTGAACTTAAATCCAGAAGTTGGTCGAGATCAACACCTCGATAAGAAAACTTTTTAAAAGTTCTTTTTTTCTTAATTTCTACTGTTGCTGCCTCGTCAGCCTGATCCATCATTGATTAATAAAAATAATGTCAATCCATTTTCGTACATAATCAATACCCAATTCAATTCGAACTTTATAATCATATCTTGCTTTACAAAATTCATCGTTGTAAAAAATTGCCTACCATATCCGCTTTATGTAGCTAAGGAAAGAGGAGGATTTCGACATTTTAGATTCCTGATTTTTATATAGATGATGTATCACATGACAATTATCGGATCTACCCAATAGGATCCGAGTCTCAACTTTACATAACTGATAAAAATTTTTATTCATCTAATCTTTTCAACCATGGATCAAACTGGTAGCCCTAAAGATGGTTATCCTCCCTTTCCGACAGGAAAATCTCTTGTGGAAACTACGACTTTACAGCCATTTCCTCACTTAACTTCCTCAACTAATCTATCGAACCTCGATTATCTACGATTAGTGCTCACTTCAAGAGTTTATGAAATTGTTAAAGAGACACCTTTACAAACGGCCGTAAATCTTTCAGCAAAACTTAATAATAAAATATTATTAAAAAGAGAAGATTTGCATGAAGTTTTTTCTTTCAAGATTAGAGGAGCGTATAACAAAATTGCACATTTAAATGAAGAAGAAAGAAAAAGAGGGGTCATTGCCTGCTCTGCTGGTACGTTTGATCAGTATGACGCCAGTGGGTGTATAATTTTGGCCAGAATTAAGATTAATTCGGCCTAAATTAAGCTTAATTCCGGTCAAAATTATAAACCACACCTCCTGATTAGTGTTCCAAATCGAAAATCGATTAATTAATCGAATTGGCAACTAATTGGTTGATAATTTTATTAGACAACTAGTCGATTGTCAACGATTAATCGATTAACTGATTAATCGACTAGTTAGTTAATCGATTAGTTGACTAATCAACTAGTTGTTTTATATAGTATCACACTTCGATATACCATCTAGTCGATTAGTCAATTAATCGGTTAATTGACTAATCGATTAATCGATTAGTTCTCTATAATCGATTTTTAATCAATTTTAAAAATTTTTTTGGCAAACTAATCGATTGCATGATTTGTAACACTACCCTGAGCGATAAAGATTATTACATGATCAATGATGTTTATCCCAGTTATTTATCAATAATTTAATATTAATCTTTAACATTATTAAAGGAAATCATGCCCAGGGAGTTGCAATGTCAGCAAAGCATCTCGGTCTTCCCGCGACTATCGTAATGCCACTGTATGAAAAATTTTTATTTATATTCAGAGTCATATGTAGCCTTTGCATTCATATTATGGAGGATGATCGACGATTTATGGCCACTTGTTTTCCTATAACTGATGTTAATGCAATTGTTTTTAACTTGAATTGGATATATAGAATTTTATATGCCCAAATGCCCCAATTTGCACAAATTTTATATGTCCAACTCACAAATCAGTTCCTATTGTAGTTCTATAAAAACAAGCGACCACAAATAATCAATCACTTTAAAACATTTACAAATGATCTAAATTTTTTATTACATTTTATTTGGAGAATGTCAGTGCTACTCCAAACATAAAATGGAAAAATGTAAAACGTTTAGGTGCCGAAGTTGTTCTTCATGGAAGTGATTTTGATGAAGCTAAAGAAGAATGTGCTCGTCTAGCTAAACTCCATCATTTCACTAACATTCCTCCATACGATGATCCGTATGTTATAGCCGGTCAAGGAACTATAGCTATGGAGATTCTTCGTCAACATAATTTAAATGAAATTGACGCCATATTTGCATGTGTAGGTGGTGGTGGTCTGATCTCGGGTATTGGTAGTTACGTGAAAAGGTTATGTCCCAAGATTAAAATTATTGGAGTTGAAACTTGTGATGCTAATGCGATGACTTTGTCGTTGAAAGCAAAAAAACGGGTTACACTTGATGAAGTTGGTTTATTTGCTGATGGAGCTGCTGTTAGAGTTGTTGGTGAGGAGACTTTTAGGGTGTGTAGTGAAATTATAGATGAAATGATTAATGTTACCAATGATGAGATTTGTGCGGCTATTAAGGATATTTTTGAAGGTATAGCTTTTTTTTTAACGCTGTATTCATTATTAGAATTCTTCTTTTGAATTAAACTCATGAAACTTTGTTCATACAGATACTCGATCCATTGTTGAACCAGCTGGTGCGCTTTCTGTAGCAGGTGTTAAAAAATATGTTGCTGAAAATAACATTACAGGTGGTTGTTTTGTTGTTGTTACATCGGGTGCAAATATGAATTTTGAACGTTTGAGATTTGTTGCTGAACGTGCTAAATTGGGAGAACGTACTGAAGCTTTGTTTTCGATTATCATACCTGAACGTCCTGGAAGGTAGAATAATTATTAATTATTTGATTTGTTAACTTTTTATTTTTTTTTTGATAAATCTAATTAATGGTTTAAGTTATTTATTTAATATGCAATATATTGATTTTTAATATTTTTCTATTTAATATATTTATTTAAAATATTTTATTGTTTTTCTTACAAACTAGCTTTATCCAGTTATGTGATAATATTTACCCGCGTCAAATAACAGAATTTTCATATAGGTAAAGAAACATGAATTGTTAAATTTGCACGATTTTTTATTAGTTACTAATATTCGTAATAGATACTCTGATCCTGAAAAAGCATGGATTTACATGTCGTTTGAAGTTGAAAACCGGGAGAAAGACCTTCCCTCTCTTCTAGAAAAACTAGAAGCTAACGGATTTTTTGTTCAAGATATTAGCGATAATGAAATGGCTAAAAGTCATGCAAGGTACCTAGTAGGAGGAAGAAGTAAAGTCGAAAACGAACAGTTATTTCGGTTCGGTAAGCTTGAAATTATTATTTAAACTTGTCCCAATAAAATGAATATTAATTATGAAATCTTTTTGTGTTGGTGTTAAAGAATTTCCTGAACGACCAGGAGCATTGAAAAAATTTCTTTCTGGACTTCGTTCAGATTGGAATATTTCATTATTTCATTATCGAAATCATGGTTCAGGTACGTTAAGTTATAAAACGGCCAACGAGGATCCGCAATCAACGCGATTCATGATTGAAAGCATGTCGTCATCAGCAGCATCATCTGGTGTTGTTAGTGATAACGAAAGTGAAACGAGTATTAATTTACTCGGTAATGATTATCTTATTTTTAATGATAACTATTCCACTACTATTCACGGTGTTGATAAAACAGATATAGGGAAAGTGTTGGTTGGAATTCAAGTACCACCTCAAGATTCAGAAGCGTTCGAGAATTTTAAGAATCAACTTGGATATCATGTTATTAATGAAACTGAAAATCCTGTTTATAAACAATTTTTAAGATATTGTCAAGATAATATATAAATTTTAACTCGAATTAATAATAATATATAAAGGCTTTTATTAAGGTTTTTATAAAGAATAAAGAATATAAAATTATTTTTTTATTTACTTAAAAAAAATAATTATTATAATTTAATATAAATATGAATACGAATATTTAAATTTTTTTTGGTATATTTTAAAAAAGAGAATTACTATTTGTACACTAGTGTGTACACACGGGGTATTGTTATTACCCAAAATTTCTCAAAATTTTGCTTATGAAACTACTTTGAAGGTTCTAACAAAAAATAATCTACACAAAATTTTAGTATAAAATACTCTCTAACCCTAACCCTCTAACTTCTAACTCTAACCCTAACCCTAATATTAAGTAGATTTTTTTATAAATTTATCTGTTACACGGATCTGCAAATCAATAAATTAATACCCCGTGTGTACACACTAGTCTTAGTTATTTTCTTTAAAAAAAATAACAAAATTTTTTAATTATTAAAAATCTTGTTTATTTAAAAAACTAAATGAAGTAAAAATAAGTGAATCATTATTTAGTAATAGCATAAAAAAAAAAATTCTTGAATAAAAAGTATGGGCTATTTTGGCGAATATAAAATAATTACAAAGTATATATACTGTATATACAGTAATTATAATATTGATAAAACTATAATTATACAGTATTAATATATATATACTGTAATAATTATAATTTAAAATTTTAATAGTTTTTAAACTACTAAAAAATTTTCATTACTAATAAGAGTATTGAAATTTTATGTATAGCGAATAAATTTTTGTAATTTTTTACACACTATTGTTATTACTAAAAAATTTTCAATTAAGATAAGTTAACAAAATCAAGCATTTTTATAATAAAATTTTTTAAAGCTTGAAACAATAGTAGCTTGACAAAAAAAACCAATTAATTAAACCTTTTTTAAATAAACTTTACAACTTTCAAAATTAATTTATAAAATTATTAATCTGTTAATATATTTATTAAATACAAACACTCTAAATGCAATATCTTTCTAAATGCAATCCTTATCTCTAACTCAAGCATACACCAAACCCTTATAAATATATTGTTCCCTAAATGCAGGTTTGGTTCCTATAAGTTGTATTTAGAAAGGTTTAACTATATCTCTTATTTAATAAAATTTTAAAAATATTTGTTTGTTTTCTATTGACTCAATCCTATATAATGATTAAGAAAATAATAACACTTTATTCACTAAGCCATACACCTTCTTCATCAATCGAGGGACTTCTTTATGATATCTATATATATGAACAGAATTTCTTTATTATACAGTATTTACTAAAGAATAAAATAATGATTTTATAAGGTACGTAATATTTAGGCTATTCTTTTATAAATAATTTAGCGTAAATAATTTCCTAATTAAAGTAATTAATTAAATTCGGGATGGTTATCATCATAAATATAAATCTATTAATTGAATTTATCGCTTCATTAGCTTAAAGACTATTAATCGCTACAAATTTCTGTTTATAGTCAAAAATTTTATGCTAATACTATTCTTTGATCTAGAATAGAGACTCAACTCGTGATTCACGAATTAAGCTCACGATAATCACTTCGATTTTCACGTTACACCTGATCCTACGCTCTGATTGGCCGATTAAGAGAACCGAAAATTTGTAATAACGATAACGATAAACTTGTTTGATATCTTACCGTCACATCATCGAAATATGCTTCCATTTATCAGCGTAGTTCGGCCTTTTTCAGGGGTTCGTTTTTTACTAAAATTTCAGAGGTTTCCTTCTTCTTCGGAGGTTTCGCTTTTCACCAAAAGTTTCACCTTTCGCGAGAGGCTTCGACTTTCACTAGGAACTTCGCCTTTCACCGGCAGTTTCGTCTTTCGTCAATTACATTCGCCTAGCAATTATACCCGCACTTTAATTTATGTTGGTCCAGACACGCGAAACATCAATCTATACAAGAAGATTGCTATTTTTTTTTGCCTGGTTGGCTGGATATCAGCACCGTTTATGTTTTTATATGGAAAGGCACTTTCGGCCGGTTATTTAGGTAACTTAAATATCGCTAATTTCATACACCATGTTAAAGATTTTGGCATTCTCGTTTCTTGACAGTTTTTCGTTGAATAGCTGCATTCGCACCAATTCCCTCGATTTTATTCATCAATTATATGACTGACACATATGTCAGCCGTTTGTTTATGTATCTCCCTCAAAGTCTGCGTTACAATCCAAAACGACGTAAAGTATTCAATCCATACATGTTGGACACTTCAGGTGATCCTATCATAACCATAGAAATGTATGATTGGCTAACACGCCGTGTAGAAATTGACGTTAAATTGAGTGAATTAAAAGATCCCTTAAAAAAGACATCACTGGTAACTTGGGTTAGAGATACTGGTGGTAAATCGGACAAAAGTAAGTTTTATGTTGCAAAAAGTTTAATGAACCAAGATCCATTCTCTAAAGGATTAGTGGAATGGATTGAAAAAAATAGTAAAAAAATTTCATCAACAAAAGCTTCAAAAGGACTAAAAGGGTGATGGTTTCAGATTTTTTGCTTTTTCTGTATAAAAAAACCTTGCCTCACCCGATTCAATCGGCATTGCCAATGAATAAAACAATATTTATTGGTTGTTTGTTTGTCCATATAGCGCAGTATATTAGGGTGTCTAATGCTAATTAAAAACGGTGTTGGGTAATATTGATGTTGTGTCGCGTAGTTATTCAACTACCTGTGCTTCTACCGTAAATTCTCGAAATAACATCAGGGGTGTAATTTCGAAATTTGACCTGAATTAAACTTAATTTGGGCCTTAGCTCAAAATAATGCCCATGCCTGCTATTTTGAGAATTTACGGTGCTCAGATTTACGAGTCTTTTCACGCTTGGTTTTTTTTTAGGGTGAGTGGCAAAGCAGTCATGGGCATACCTAGAGATGTGCCCTCGCGCGACAAGTATAGTAAAAATTTCATGTATCATATGACTTCGCGAAATACACAATGACTTCATAACTCGCGCGAAATATATGATAATCTTATGCATTAATAAACTATTAATCATAAAATTTTATTAAATTTATTCCGCGCGAGATCATATGATTAATTCGCGTGAATATGATGTCAGCATCTCGCACATAGGCACATCTTTAGGCATACCATAGGCATGCCTAAAAATAAAATATTATAAGGCATGCCACTTATATATGTCCAATATATACATACGTCTATTGTCGGAAAAATTCGTAAAAATACGAGCAAATTTTCGAGAGTTGTGAATTGTCTTACAGGTAGGACCGTCCCAAATAAAGAAATGATGATCCCGATCATGCATGTTTAGTTTAGCCAATCAAAATTGTAAATGATAATCCATAATCGTATGATAAGTATCACGTGTTGATTAGCCAATAAAATTGTAAATTTTTATAAAATTAAAAGAAACGAAAATTTATAATTAAAGTCCAAAATAAATGCTGCCAAATATTACCGTTAGATAAGCAAGCATGTATTTATTAATGTAAATCAAGATTATTAATGTTTTAATAGTATTTGTTTTTATTTATTTACTAAAACTTCAATATTCTATATACGTTTAATTTTACATCTAATTTTATGTCTAATTCTACGTCTAACTCTACACACTTAATCAAAATTTCTAATACATTACACTATACCAAATTACATTACACAGCTATTACTCTACTAAGGGATCTTTTCGATATTAATACACATCGTATATATAGCCTTTCATCGTATCCTAAAAGCTCCTATAATGATAATATAATAAACAGTATAGTTAATTAATATTATTCGTATACTTTCAATTTTCTAAAGGATTTCTATGCAACACGTATAATAAAAAAAAAAAAACAGAAACTAATTTTTTTCTCCTATACTATCGTTATTAATCGCTATATTGAGTTTTTTTTACCTTTTTTCTTGTTTAAAATGAGATTTTGTCGACGTAGTGATTGTTAATTACTTATAACTTCAACAGGTGAAGTGTAATATAAAAGTTGGTGGATTCAGATGGATTCAGCGAATATGTTGTAGAGTAGAGCGAAAACTTTAAGTTTACTTAGTACGTTTTATCCCCTTAACCAAGGAGTTAAAGTACCTGAGCTTCCGAAAAAAGTATTGTAAAATGTATAAAAAAAATTTTTTTATCAATTGGATTATCTGTGTAACATGGACGGTCCTACCTCGACCATTTACCTCCAGAGGAGACTGTCCCAAATATGGAAATCACTCCGATATTATGCATTAGCCAATCATATCTAAGTCACCTGTATGTTAACCAATCAGGTTGCAAGAAAAAAGTTGTGGGATTAACAGGGATTAAAAGAATATGACATATAGCGAAGCAAAAGCATAAATTCATCTGTTGTATTTTTTACGGTTTGTAAAATGTTAAGCTACCCGAGTGTTTTAAAAAAAAAGTATTGTAAAACGTATAAAAAAAAATTGTTTATCAATTGTGTAACATTCGGGTGACTCAGGTAATCAATTCCATATTTGGGATGGTCTCCCCTGGACCATTTACCTAGTACAGTAGTATAATATTAAAGTTAATTGAAGTTTCTTCAGCATGACAGAAGTTCAATTTTATTGGCTACACATGTGTAAATCGCAGATCCTAAATTGTTAAATATAATTGGCTAATAAAATTAGTAAAATTTTATACTTGCCGATTAAAAATTTTGTGGCTAAGCATTCGTTGCAAATAGAGCAGTGTTTTGTATAGTTTCCGTGTAGTTAAGTTTACGTGTGATTGAAAGAGTGTGGATTGTTGTTGTAGTCTAGTTTTGTCATATTCAAGCTTTGCGTGGTTAAGTTCACCGTAGTCAAGCTTTAGCAGTTAAGTTTTCTGTGTCAAGTTTCGCCGAGTTAGGTTTCGCCGGGTCAAGTTTGTTAGCCAATTTTCGCCTTGGTCAGGTGTTGTTAGTTGGCCAAGTTTCTCCGGGGCCTTTCGTTATTGCTAGAGTTAGGTTTCTCGGGTCAAGTTTTTCTGGGTCAAGTTTCTCTGGGTCAGGCTTCTCTTCCCCAAGACCAAGGTTTATAGTAAGTTTTATTATTCCTATTTTTTAAAGCGCAAGAAATATTTATTATTTGCGACGACTAATAATTTTTATCTAAAAAAAAAAAAAAGCAAAATTTACGCAAAAATGCCTACCAAAAATTTGGGCCCTTGTTCAATTATCAATTGTACGAATACCAATGTTCAATTTCGTACAATTACAGTGCTTGCTTACGAAAAATGCCAAAGGAAACAAACATTAAAGGCATATTCTTACCTTGAGGTTGGGAAACAACTATGCCATCCGCATTATTGCAAACTAGTAGAGCCATATGTCAAAAAACATGTTCAAACCGAAAATGTACTAGAGCCAATAAACAATTCAATTAATATATTTTATTTTAGATTTAATTTTTTTTTTATAAATTATTTATTTTATATATTTATGTACTGTATTTTTTATTAATTT